CCATATAAATGGGCGGGTTTGGACACATGCTTTAGCCCACCGGGCCGGGCCCGGCCCGGCCCGTTTAAAATATGGGCGGGCTTGGGTTGTAATATAGGCCCGGTCGGGCCTAAAAGCCCGGCCCGTAAACATATTATATTATATATATTATTCTATATATAATTATACATTATATGACTATACGTATAAAACTTAAAATACTTGGAAGTATAATTTCATTACCATGTCATTATTCACAAGTGTCATTATTTTCCATTATTTTCATTATCTCAATGTTTTTACTTTGTTTATAAATAATATTTGGTTTTCATTATTTGATATTTATTGGCATTTGGCAGAGCAGTCTGGGAGATCAATTACTTTCTAGTGAAATGAAGGAATGTCGAGAAGTTCTTGGAATCTTGGGATACCAATTACTTTTTGTGTTCTACTATTTAAATTTGAACTGTAATGATATACATTTGTTAAATCTTTTTGGAGATACTCTTGACTATTTCCGCTGCACATTGTGAATCTGTGATTGTGCTTTTAATTATGGAATATGGATGCTTATTTGAAATTTGGATGCTTTTTATTTTCCAGAATCGTTTTGTGTTTCGCATTTAAACGTATTCTTGTGTTCAAAATGTGTTGTGAGTACATTAATTATTTAATTGCATTTAAAATGTTGTGATGTTATTTTATAAATATTTTCATTTTTTTAACAAAGTTGACAAAAGGATATTTTCCGGGCCCAAAAGCCCGGTGGGCAGCCCGGCCCGCTCTCATGGGCGGGCTTGGACATATGAGGAGGCCCGTTTTACCGGGACGGGCCGGGCCCGCCCACTACAAGTGGGCAGATTTTTTAGAATAAGCCCGGCCCGAGCCCGTGTTTGTGCAGGTCTAAGAGAGAGTAGTAGTAATAATGTTTAGCTTAAACCGAGAACTTCACAAATGAAGTTGTGAAAATGAGAGGAGTGCTTTAAATTAATTGTCACTTTTCTTATGAAAATATATAGTATTGTTTACCGATTATCATGGTTTTTGTATTTTAACAACAATCACTTTCTTTATAAACAATACGTATCAACCTTTAATATTTCCAATGGTTTTGTAATTTATGTTCCATATTACATCGTAATAAATAAGATATGTTGTAATACCATTAAATTATCTTTAATAAAAATGCATTTTTTTATAACTTGATTTAGGCGGTGCTTATGATAATATAAATTGGTGATACAAATATATATATTTTTGTCACTCAAGATCATGTACTAACTCCTATGGTTAGAAAAGGGGAAAGTTCCTGAAATAGGACTAAAACAGTTTGAAAATTCCAAAATAGGATTGTCATGTTTTTTATTCCCAAAATAGAAGTAATTACTGTCAAGTTTAGAAAATACTGTCATGTTTGAAGTCTGGTACTGCCAAAACATGGCAGTAATTAATCCTATTTTGGGAATAAAAATATGGCAGTCCTATTTTGGAATTTTCAAACCTTTTTTGTCCTTTTTCGGGTAATATTCTCTAGAAAAGTTGGTTTAATCAAATATAAGTCACACATTTATAGGATTCTTGATTTATTGATTTATTTAATATTTAGAGTTCTTAATTTATACATCATTTCTTTTTTCACTGTTTCTATTGCGTGCACAAATCTTGTCTATATAAATCCTTAGCATGTGTTATTACAAAAAAACGAAAAGAAAAACAAAGTTAACATCAAGCTAAGACATTGTTAGCTGGGCACCACTGCAACACTCATTTAGTATGAACGGATTTATATATCTAAATCCGGAAATTGCCTTACATAAAAGGAAAAATAGAAGTACTCCGTATTACATTTGTTTTCTCTAAATAGAAAAAAAATATGCCATTGTTGAAAAATACTCTCAAACTTTTAGCTTACTTGAGAATATTATTGATTTAGTACCCGTGTGGTTACCCTATTTTTTGACTTATCAACCAACTTTTATCAAACACGTAACTTTTAATTTCGCGTACTGAATTATTTAATAATCAAAATAGGTTAGGTTGAATTAGTTACTTTTCTGACTAAATTGACTGATGTTACTGTAGATGATCATTTTAGCTATTTTCATATAAATTTTTCTTTGGTTTTTTAATAAAATATATTTGAAATATAATATTTTTCATATATCAGCAGAATGAGCCACTTCAGCTAGAACTTCATAAATTTCAGCAGAATCAACCGATTAAGGCAATTTCTATGCTACCGAACATGCCCTAATCATATTTAGGGGGAGTTGATACTATTATGTACTTTAGAATTTCACATTATATTTAGGGGGAGTTCATATTCTAATCATGTACCATCTCAATTTAAGTTTGTGAACATTCACTATTTTAACACTCAATATAGATGAAATATTGTTTATGAATTTTGATATAAGTTGTGTAACAATTGGATTACAATTTAAAAAATTACAACACTTAAAAAAACTAAAGTTTTTAAAGTGCTTAAATATTTTTTATTTTGGTATACGTAATATTGGTATGATATGAAAGATAATAAAAAATTAAGAATTTTATATTATATAAAGATAAAGCTAAAATTATTAGGGGAAAATAATTAAAATACCCCAAACTTTGAAGGGGTGTGAGATAAACATCCTGAACTTTCATATGTAATTTAAATACCCCAAACTTTATATAAAAAGTTATTTTAACACCATGGTTATGTGTAATTTCTTTCAAAAATGTAAATTTAGGGTGTTAAATGCATAATTTAAAATAGAAAATTGAAAACATTATAATTATATATAGTGGTGGGTAATACTATTTATTTTACAATGGAAGCTTAGAATGGTAATTGTATCTTTATGAATGCTAAATTTATGAAACTTGAAAGAAATTATTCATGACCATGGTGCTAGAATAACTTTTTATATAAAGTTTGGGGTATTTAAATTACATATGTAAGTTTGGGGTGTTTATCTCACATGCCTTCAAAGTTTGGGGTATTTTAATTATTTTCCCCAAGTTATTATTCCACATTGATTATTATATAGAATACACTAATAATCATACAAAATTTTATCATGACATAACATATAAAGGGAGTAATATACGGCACACACAATATGCCATATATTGATGGCAATATTCCCATTTATTTATAATTATTCACAAAACTAATAATCTTATGTATACACGCTCTACATCACTTCATTTGTGAGTCATTAATATGCTAGAGATCATTTCTTAATTTACTTCACCATTGAGCGGCAAAATTGGAACTAAAATTTATAGCAACTTTGCTGCTACTTTATATAATACTAGACAAAGTACCCGTGCGATGCACGGGGTATATCTAGATTTGGATAATAACTTATTTAAAATAATGTTTTATCATGGTACATTATATGTTAGTTTTGATAAATAAAAAAATAGAGTTTATATGTTGTAACTTTTATTATATACATAGTCATAGTAATAAGAAAATATGAACCGTATGAAAAATGAAAAGAAAACTAAAATAAATGATATTGTGTAACCATAAGCTCTATGTCTTATTAAAATTTATAAGATAGATCGAGCAACAGTCATATATGTTGACAATGAGAAAAAAGTTTCACAAATTTTGAAAAACTTCTTTATATACCACATTATTCGTGGTGTTGATAGCGCGACCCTCGTCATCACATATAAGAATCTTCAATCCACTCCTTGAGGTAACCCTTGACATGGCCACATACAATTGGCCGTGCGTAAAGACAGATTTGGGAAGATATATGCCCACTTGATCCAAAGATTGTCCTTGACTTTTGTTTATCGTCATGGCAAATGAAACAATCATTGGAAATTGCCTGCGCTGAATTTTGAAAGGAATTCTGCTATCTGGCGGGACCAATGATAGTCATGGAATCAAAACCTTTTGACCAATACTTTTTCCGGTTATAATCTTCGCCTCCAAAACAAATTTACCTAACAGAGTAATAATCAGGCGAGTTCCGTTGCATAAGCCAGATGACTGATCAATGTTTCTCATTAACATAATAGGAACACCGACCTTTAGTCTCAATTTATGGTTTGGTATTCCTGATGCATTGATGGTGTTCAGAAACTCTTGAGTATGGACTTCATCAGATTCAGCGCCAATGTTTCCTTCAAGCGAACATGGGTTGTCAAAACTCAAATATGTCCTCATTTCTCCAGGCATCAATGAAATCATATAATTATTTATAAACTCTACAACATCATTTGTGGGTGTCAAAATAGCTCTTTGCTGAAAATATGATGGATCAGCCATATGTTCCAGAAATGACGGATAAGTGCTAGCAACTATTGATACAATAGGATCACCTGATGTCGTAATAAGCATATCATCAGGTATACCAATGATGACCTCTCCATCTTTGACAGTCCCAATATTTCCATCTCCTATTTTGAGCACCAAATCTGAGAACCTTTTCAATTCCTCAACATTACAATGCGAAGAACCACACTGCAGCCTCATGTTTTTTGTGAAAGTGAGAACTTGACAATGTCTCCAAATATATGAGGTATTAATAGTAGCACGAACAACCTCTTGCCTAGATGTCTTTGGTATGACTGGGAGTATTTGCCTGAAATCACCACCAAAAACGACAACTTTCCCTCCAAACGGAAGTTTCAAGCTATCGGGATTGTGAAATCTAAGCAAATCTTTTAGTGTCATGTCTACAGCTTCAAAACAATGTTTGTGTGTCATTGGAGCTTCATCCCATATGATAAGCTTCGCTTTGATTATTAGCTCAGCTAGATGACTTCCTTGCTTTATATTGCAAGTGGAGTCCAATAGCACATAATTATTATACATATTCTGTACATATATTGTATTGGTTATAATATCTCTTACCATTAGAATAGTTACCTTAATTGTAATATCTCTTACCATTAGAATAGTTACCTTAATTAGTGGTAGTGCTTAATTACCTCCTTAATTATAGGATGACAACCAACTCCCCTTGTATATATAAACATGTACTCATCGACACATATAATACATAGAAGATACTTCTTCAGAGTCTTCATTGACGTTGATAGGAATGGCAAACCGGGAATGAGCTGTGTGCCCACCAGGAATAAGTAGCGATGCTATTGCACTGGATGCCACTGTCAGCACAATTTCACCTTTGGATCTTATGCATGCGGATATCGCCCTCCATATGTATGTTTTACCTGTTCCGCCATATCCATACAGGAAAAAGACACCGCCACGATCTTCAGTAACACATTGCATGATGGTCTCATTTATATTCCTTTGTTCAACAGTCATGGTTGACAATAGATACAAATGTTCTGCAGCCAGAGATGGTCTATCATAGTTCAACTCATCATGGAGAAGTCTATTCTGTGATTCAGAAATCAATGACCTGTCAGGACGTGGCATGGATGGGAACTCCATCAAAGTTTTTCCATTTTTGCGCAATAACTTCTCTATCTCTACCAAAGCAAAACTCTTCAATTCATCATCCAATAGAATCAGCTCTGTCAAAAAATAAATAAATAATTCTATCATATTTGCATAAATGCTTTATTATTAGTATTATTGAGTGGAACTAATGTATGTGGTTGTGACAATTAATATCATAAATCAAGAAAAATAGTAATATACTTACCATTGAACTGTAGAAGTAATCTCTGTCTGTGCTGAATATCATCGCTCAGATACTTCCAAGTTTTTTGCCAAACCACATGTGGTGTACACATTTGGTTAGACACCATCAATACAACAAAGAAGAACCTCATATACTCCCCAGTTCCCCAAAAACTCGACATTACTGCAATCTATTCGTATGTTATTAGGGCCTTTTACTTGAAAAGGAGTCATTGTTTTACTATAGTGTGTTACATTACACTTGGAGTTCATAAAAATACCCATTGAACTCCAAGTGTAATGTAACACACTATAGTAAAACAGTGACTCCTTTTCAAGTAAAAGGCCCTAATAACATACGAATAGATTGCAGTAATATATAAAAAATAAACAAAATTGATGAATATGATTAAAGTGCTTAATGAAATTGCTGCCAAATTGGCACAAAACTGAACAGTTTTAAAATACTTCAAGAAAACTATCAATTGAAATCCCCAAAAAAACTGAATATGAAAGAAAAGATTGCATTATTCGAAGTTGCTCTAATGACACACACCCTTCATTCAATGGGCTCCATTTTCACTTCAACAACCTTTCTCATTTTTGTGCTCAATGTTTGAGTCGCACTACATTCCGCAATATCACCTGACCTCTTTCCACTTGATGTTATGGTTGGGGTAGTCGCCTCCACATTCACCAAGCAATTCTAGCACCAATTAAATAAAGACTTTTAGAACAATACTAAAATAAATAAATAGTGGTAAGTTATTTGGTGCACATTTTTCAACGACACACTCTGTCATACATTATTAGAATGGTGCAAGTTTGGGTTGCTTATATCGATGTTGGAGCCTACCTCTTCGACATCCTATGAACAATTTTAATTCCAAGACGTAATCCATAAGTACTTAGTAAATATGTAATGTATGTTACTTTAAAATCTGGACAAAGTACAATACCTTTTCATTGTCACCAATCTCCTGAGAAGCACAAATAGTGACTTCTGCTTCATCTCCCATAGAATCCTGAATTTCAGGATTAAAAAAACCTACATTTAGGATTTTGGTTTGCACATATAATAATAATAAAGTAATATAAGCATAATCTTACACACCTTCATCGGATTTAGCATTTGAAACTGATCTATTTTTTCCTCTTCCATAATCATTTCCTTAATATTACAACTTCTCCACCCCTTTCCTATATTGGCATCACTATTCTCTACCTTGAACAAAATCCTTCTACCAATAAATATATTTAATTCCTCTGCTTCAGAAAAGTTAATATTTTTCTGCACAGAGAAAGTGTTTTAGTGTTAAGGTCCAGAAGGGATACTAAATAACTGAAACTTTAGAATAACCAATAGACGTGATGTGCGATATCATGTACCTTTTGTATGGTAGTGAGCAAGTCGGTAGCAGATTTTCCTAACATCCTAGTCATGACACAATCAAAAGTAGTAAATGTAGTGGACCCAGTTTGATCCATAACTTTAAGCGTCACCTTATACCTGAATGAAAACACTAACCTTAAATTATCTTTCTTGATACTAATTAAGAAAATATATACAATGGGTAATACCTGGGAATCGCAGACCTCCCTGTGTTACACTTTTGACCCTCACAGTAGAATTTATTGCCTAGAGGGTAACATTTCTTATAACAGGTGGTACATGACTGATAATACCAGTCACCACCACATAGTTCAATAACTGTTGCGAGAACAAATGGACAACAATTCTACAATTTAAGTAAGCAGCATTTAAAACATTAGTTAAGCTATTGTGTCAACTATATATGTTAACTTAAATGTGTTATTTTCAATGATTTCTCATTTTATTTACCTCTGTAGAATCTATCAAATCAGAAATTGTCATGTGAGGGTTCTGCATTAGATCTTCCTTGAAAGTGCGTGTACTCTGATCTGTTGACATGCTACTCACAACTTGAGTGAGGATAGCCTATGGTGCCCAACCCATAATATTCATAAATTAAGACCAAAAAATGTGATAATAGTGAAAATTTAAGATATGTGGCTAAAAGCATTCACGATTTTTTACATATATTGCTTATTGTAAATTTCTTTACATTTATTAGCATTTGCTTGCGGAAGAAGCCCAAGTCTAAATTGTGGCAGAAATTAATACAATTTTGCATAAGTTAGCAAACTAAAATTTATTTTGAAAAGTCTGGATTGAGACTTTGTGCTTTGTGGTATAAGGATTCCATACTCTTTTCTATTTCAGATTGCTTATTGTATTTTTTTTGGAAATGATTGATATTCATATGCAGGCAGAGGTCAAGGTTTAAAAAGGTGTAGAAATTATGTGAAGAAAATTGAAGCAGGTTCGCTAAAAATATAACTTAAACTAAGTTGATATAACTGATCTGGAATTAAATCTTTCATGTCTTTGGTCTCAGATTAGTTATTGTAATTTCTTGTAATTCATTGATCTTTCTTTGTAGGGACTGTTGAAGGTTTGGTTTAGTTTTGTACTAAGGGACTTTGAAATAAAGTAGACAGGCTGCTAAAAAAAGGTTTGGTTTAGTTTTCATTTTGACTTTGTATTTCACAAAAGCATGCAAAAACCTTCTAAAATGGTCACACATATTTTAAGCGTGGGTATTTCAGAAAGCAAAGAAAACGTATTTTCAATTTTTCGTAAAAAGTTTACCTTTCTTTGTATTCTTGAATTTCTGGAAGAGGGGAGTTGATATGTAACTTTGTCCCATAGTAAGCATTTGTTATTCCCGACGTCCCAGTGAATATTATTCAATATTAATATCTTTATAAAATAAATTAATTAAAAAACTATGACAATAAATTACAAATTTCTACCGTTGTATATTCTAGTCTGACAGATTTCTACAATTAAAAAGCATTCTCCTTGATTACTGTCCAGGTATTGTTTAATTTGCTCTGCCAACTTTGCTCACAATGAACACTTTATTTTATTACCTCTGGAATAAAAACATGCAATGTTAAAAACATTTGTGTTTCATGATTAGATTAATATTCAATATCGAATAATTATAGCATATGTATTAAAACATACTGGGGTATTTAAATTACATATTTAAGCATATTTAAATCACACACAATATGCCATATATTGATGGCAATATTCCCATTTATTTATAATTATTCACAAAACTAATAATCTTATGTATACACGCTCTATATCACTTCATTTGTGAGTCATTAATATGCTAGAGACAATTTCTTAATTTACTCCACCATTGAGCGGCAAAATTGGAACTAAAATTTATAGCAACTTTTGCTGCTACTTTATATAATATAAAGATTTGAGAAAATTACCATCTCAATTTAAGTTTGTGAACAATCACTATTTTAACAGTCAATATACATGAAATATTGTTTATGAATTTTGATATAAGTTTTGTAACAATTGGATTACAATTAAAAAAATTACAACACTTTAAAAAACTAAAGTTTTTAAAGTGCTTAAATATTTTTTATTTTGGTATATGTAATATTGGTGTTATATGAAAGATAATAAAAAATTATGAATTTTATATTATATAAAGATAAAGCTAAAATTATTATTCCACATTGATTTTTTACAATACGATTATTATATGGAATACACTAATAATCATACCAAATTTTATCATGACATGACATATAAAGGGAGTAATATATGGCACACACAATATGCCATATATTGATGGCAATATTCCCATTTATTTATAATTATTCACAAAACTAATAATTTTATGTATACACGCTCTACATCACTTTATTTGTGAGTCATTAATATGCTAGAGATCATTTCTTAATTTACTCCACCATTGAGCGGCAAAATTGGAACAAAAATTTATAGCAACTTTGCTACTTTATATAATATAAAGATAAAGATGTACATGCTAATTACATCGTCTTTTTTATGGAAGTATTGTTGTATATATAGGGAAAATATATTGTCACATAGAGTTATTGTTATACTTTATTTTAATGTTACTTGCAATATTTTATACGATCCAAATTTGCATTTTCTTACGGCTACTACGATGTATATAATTAATAAAAGTTACGGCACATAAGTTCTATCGCCTTTTTTATTTGGCAAAATTACACTATATTATTATTATTATTACTATTATTACTAGTATTACTATTATTGTTATTATTGTTTTTGTTATTATTATTATTATTACAACCATATATTATTAATAAATGAGAGAAAAATTAATTACCAAATTAGATGTACTACCTTGTATAGCTAAATTACACTTTGACATGGAATATTGCAGTTAAAATTAGATCAATATTACCATAACAATGATATCATATGGCGGGTAATTGAACACAAAAGGAAAGCATTCAAGATTCTATATTTTTGCACACCATTTTACTCTTTCTTTGCCAAGTATATTCAATTCAGTACACATACGATGTATAATTTCGGCAAATATAATGGGTAATAAATGTTCTATTAATGAAAAGAGTTTCAAGCACCCATAGGTAGGGGTGGGATCGATCCGGTCTGGGTCGGATTTTGGCTAACCCCGGAAATTACCCGGAAGGTCTCGGGTTATGAAAATTAAGGACCGGAACAAAGCCCATTGTATTCGATCCGAGTCAGGTTTTTAATAGACCGGGTTCGGTCTGGGTTCGGGTTGAGCCGGTTAAAGCCCGAATGTGAAATCATATCAATGTGAAAACTATTTTTAAATAAACTAATAAAACCACAAGCCGCAAATAATAACACAAATATTAGTCTCCAAAATCACCAACAATTCAAATCAAAAGAAAATAATTGTCTTAATATTTTGTTTAAGATACATATAAATAAATAATATAGGTTTTCTAGAAATATTACGGAATAAAATTTATGGATAAAAAAGTGATTAAAAG